CAAAGAATTGATTGTTGACTTCATAGTACCAAGCGAGCATTGTCGAGGTATTCTTTGGTTTCACATTGTATAATGGTCAAATATTAAAGTAGATTTCACGTCAATATAACCTAGATATAACTATATCAGTTGCGTTCTGTCGTCATTGGGATAAACTTGGTAACAGATGCCAATAATGTAATGGCAACACTTCGTGGAGGCTAAGCGCGCTATCCAGAGAGGACGCAGTTATGAACTTCTGGCTGCCCAACCCCCTCTTGAAGCAGTCAACAGACGGCCAGCAGCCTCGACGGGCAGTGCGTTCCAGCAGCCGCAAACTCATGGAGAAAAGTGTGTAGCAGAGCGTAAAGCCCTAGGTCTCTTAGCCGATCCCCATAAGGTTTTGGCCTCATTCACATAACACTCTTTGCCACTCACCCCTGGACCTTCTCCCGGAGGTTCACATCTCCCTTCAGGCGTGATGACGCAGTGGCTTTACGGATTTCCAAGTCAGGTCGTATGCAGATCTTGTACAGCTTCAGGAAGAGTTCTGGAGTGAGGGCAGCTGGTTGTTTGACCACGAGGAGCAGTGCTACGCAGGCTACAGGGGCATCTTCTCGGCAGCTGGGACTAGTGTATGGCTTATACCAGGTCCTCCTTCAAAATGGCGTTGAAAAGTTGCATTCCACAGTGAGAGTAGGCTACTTTTTGAGGTTCAAGAGTGTGGAAAGAGTTGCAACATCAAAAACCCCTGCTATGATGACTTGGTCGTATGCTATGGACATCGCTCCGGGCATAAACCGAGTCAGCTATCGTATTCATTCACCTTTGCTAGTAAGAGTTCTGTGGACCACCCCACCAGGTACTTGGTGTTTCCAGCCGTGAAGTGGCACTAGATGCAGCCTGGGAGCCCTGATAGTAGAGTTTCGGTGACTCGTTCACTTTTTAGATGGTCACTCATAAACACTGACATTCCATCTCCCTCTTTGTGTTCTCTATCTTCCGGCGATAGACAAGTTTCTGTCAGGGTTATAACCTTCAGAGAAAGGTAGAAGCAGAGATCGTAGTTTTCCTATCTTACCTTCACACATACTTAGAGGTGCTTCTATCAACGTGGATGTCTTAGTGGATGCGGGCTATAAGCAGTCATGTACAGCTGCAGAAGTTGTCACTGGCCAGCCAGCTCCAGTGGAATGGTCTGTCATGTTTTTTCCACAGTGATTTCTAGGGATACTATAGAGTCAGAGTAAGTGTGAACGCCTTGTCTATTAACAGTGATGGTGACTTCAGCACTGAACATGACGGTTATTTGTTGTAGTCAAAATGTCCTGGCTTCACTTTCGTAACAACTGATGTTGTTTTCAGCTAAGTACCAACTTTGGAGTACTTTGGTTAGAAGCTCTGAGCATCTGAAGTAACTCGCTATCAACCCGGGCGGTCCCATTGCTGTCAGGTGTGGGAGAAGCGGGAGTCTGCAGACCGCTGCTTCGCTACACTACACTATTTAATCCTGCTCTTGCTTACAGCTGCTGTCATTGTTGGACATCATGAGTATACTTCCCTACCAATGTGCCATGGATAACCAAGGCTGTTAGTTCTAAGCATGTGGCGGGCTTCCCGGAATATTTTCCTCGCTGACCATGACTTAATGCTGATTGGACGGTTGATGAACAGGGTGTATGGAAGCAACAGGAATCTTTTAGCCTCCCTACCAGAGCTGTGTCACTCTCGCCGGCGGGGGCCTTACTTGAAGTGAATGGTTGGCCTCGTAGAGCCGGTGTGGCTTCGCTCCCAAGCTTCCTATTCCTAATGAGAAGCACAAAGCTTCCTATTACTGTCTAACGATTACCTCTTCTCAATGGGACCGTAATAATATATAGGAACGTCAAATAAGATGACTGAGTCCAACCTATCTCCAACATCCTTGTTGTCGTGTATTGTGAGTGAACTTTTGTGCAGAGGGTGGGCCTTTTTTTCCACAATAACGCTTTTTTCCTGACGCGCAGTACAGGAAGCTGTTTTAGCAAACTTAAGGTCTGGGACTGATATAGTCGTCGTTTGGCCCCTTTTGGGCTTTTCACAGGTATGACTGGCCCAGAAAGGATACTGACACTCTTGTTTTTTGGACTCTCGCTTTCAGTAGTGGTTTGTACGGGGGCGACATGTGAGTAGCCACTAGGGTGTCTTTCATCTCGATAAGTAAACCCCAGAGAGTAGGAGCCTTACATGGCACTGTGAGCAGATATACCAGAAATACGTGTATCGGTGATATGCCGTGGAGGCGTAATATTTATCTGGCACGTTCTTATAACACTGACAGTGTGCCTACCTCTAACAAACGTTGCACTCAAAAGCCGCGTCCGTTTTGGCTATAGTGAGATCACCCATGTGACGATCGTCACCTTGGCCAGAGGGTTCATTCAGAGACCTTTCTTTTCTCTGACGTCTTCTTGTGGTAGCTTTCATGGGAACAATAGGGTTAGGTGTGCCAGAAAAACACGCTCTTCACTGAACTAGAGCAGATAGGTTCTCAAGGACAGGAAATCGTCTTTTTCGGGGATTGGAAATTATAACTACTATCCTGAGGCCGACTCATGGACTTTTGCAGCAGTTTTAAACCTCTTAACTTCAGCCACAGTTACTACCAAGGGGAGATAACGACAGATTAGGCCTTATCTGACGTGCTCTTGATAAGACCAAAACACTAGTTAGTCATTTCAATAGGTAGTTAGAGGGGAAGCGCAAGACAAAAATGCGCAGGCTAAGTTAAATGTGGAAAAACTATGGTAGCTTAAGTAAGTTGTCAACCTTACCTTAGATTGTCGAGCTTTACTACCCAGAAGAGTCCAGAAAGCTCCCTAGAAGTCCATGATTTATGAGCGAGCGAGATAAATGGTGCTGCAGATCCAGCAGCCCGGGCTATAGCAGTTGATTGAGACAGCTGGACCTACCACATAGCTGTCAATCTATAGAGTGATGGCATTGGTTGACTGAGGATCGAGCACTCCGTACACAATTTGTTTGCGAAATTTTTACTTTCGGAGGGGAAAGATCCGACCAGATAGGTGTGTGTGAGGCTATTTCCGAGAAGAGTGAAGACGAGGCAAGACATGTCAGTATTGTGAAGCAAACTTCCAGCTCCTGAATTTATTAGCAGCCGATGATGAGACTTTTTTCTGTAAGGTCGAAACTGTTTTTCGGTATGTAATGGATAAGGACTTTCTTGGTCTCAAAAAGCTTAAAATTACAATGATGCGTCCGACTGGCCAGCTGTCATCTGATTTCCTTTGAAGTCATTGCACATCCCATAAACTGTTACCCACGTAAATTCACAAGGTCCCTCCGCACCTCAGCGTCCTTGTGCCAATACGAAGTCTCCTTGAAGCTACTACCTGCCAAGCTAAACTGTCCAAAAATTGAAAAACAACGTAACTATCCACCTAAACGTATGGCTAATCGTAACACTATGAAGAGAAACTCAGCGGGGCAGCAAAACAGACCAAATGAATTAAAGCCGCTCGTTAGACCACCAGTCATTCGTTACCATAAACACAATAATTCAGCTGGTAATAGCCTGTTCGACAACCCACTGCCGCTTAGGTACACAGCTTTGCAAAAACCACACCACTTTATTTAAGTCCACAGATGACTTCTTAAGTACCGGTACTGAATACTATTCTACACACTTAGCGGCCACCTACAATGGTGGGAAAATTATACGTAACTTGGACATCGCCCAAGGTTCAGTGTTAACAATTGAAGGTTGACGCCACAACCTGTCTCAAAACAGATCTTCATCCCTATTCCTCACATCCATAAGGAAGTCACCTATCTTTGCTCATCAAACTTCCTGACTCCTGACCAGCTTCTTTCTAACTTCGACTATTATATTGATGACATCTGGTCGTCATCTGAGGACAAACTGACGTCTCATCACCGATTGCCCCGAGGCATATTAGGAATTTCGAGGCATAACGTGACGTAACCGAACATGCTCCTCACCACAACATGATCAAAACTTGTGCATTTATACATGAGTATTCGAAATAATTGACTCCCTTTGTCGGACAGTGAAAGACTTCATGAAACATCTGTGTTGTTTCTTAACTTCCTAAATGTTTCGAATTGTCAAAGTGGTTGGCAGGAGTATTCGAGTTAACTTGCATAGTATTACACTGTCCGAACTGTATTGAGACCCAGTATCAATTGCAATATTACTATGGAGTTTGTCGTGCCAAAATCAATCACATTTTATGATTTTCTAGCTGGACGTGATCTACTGTTTGTTTCACCACTTGGAAGTTCATGAGCCAAGATTTTAAACAAATTCTGATTGTAACCAATATCACTGTTAGGTACCTAAACAGCTCATAAGTTCTAGCCCTCCTGATTCAAAGTTGGGTTTAACAGAATAACATCAATTTTGGTCAATAATCCTAAATATCCTATGGTGGTTGTAAGCTTCAGGCGTTACAATGTTAACGCGGAGAAAAACTGTTATGAATACTATACTACTCAAGTATTGTCAGTAGTTAAAAATCTAATGAACAATAACCGTACATTTGTGTTAGCATACTTATTTTAATGTAAAAATGCAGAAGGGATGAGTTCAAGTGGGAAAGTGAATATGGTATTATGCAGACGACAGGAAATTAGGCACAAGGAAGAAGAAGTTAACCTGTTATTTAGTTAGTTTTCAATTCAATGAAGAAATAGAAAGAGGGAATAAATGAAACCCATAACGAAAGTATACCAACTTCCAAAAGAATGTGTAAGGAAATAGCACAGGATTACCTAAAAAATAAATTCATCAACTTTTTACATGTTTATATAAATTAATATGTGATCTTCTCAGCCACATTCTATGAATTATAATTGGTCAAAATATTCTCTGTATGAAGTGCACCACTCTTATTACTATTCCTTGTACTAAATCTCAACACCCTTTTGTTGCCTTCATTATTCTGTTTAGAATTCATGTTCACACAATCTTTCATTGATTCTAGTTGTACTTGATTGACCTCACTACTCCCACCTGACAAATTAGGTTTTCCATCATCTTTTGGGTGTCCCAGTAGACTGTTCTCCTCTAAATGTTCCGGATCTATGGAATAAGTACTAGTATTCTCATCTAAAAGTTCACCATTTGAAGTTTTCGATGATTTCCTATCGAAATCAGACTCACGTTCTTCCTCCACTTCTTGTTCTTCTTCCTGCTCCTCTTCCTCCTCTACATCATTATCATCTAAATCCTCTTCATCATCATCACTTGAAGAGTGTACTTTATCCGGTCTAAAATATTGCCATTTTCTCAATTCAGATGATGAACAATTAACAGAATTGTTTTTAGCATCGGAAGCGGTAACAACAACAGTATTAACAGTACCAGCATTAGTAACATCACTACTACTAATGGGTTCTTTTGGTCTAATCTTTCGAAAGTTTTTACTATATGGACCTATTATTTGTCCAGCATCTGGATGTGCCTCTCTGATATGTGCATCAACCATCCATCGTCGACGTTCAGGCATTTGTTTTGAGCATATTGGACAAACCTTGAAAGCAAATGAAATTAGAACAACAACAAGTTATTGAGTAAGTTTGGTTGAGAAAAAATAAAAATCATTGTTGGGTTAAATTCTTTACTAGGTTAATAAGAAATAAATATACCAGAATAATATAAAATATATAATAATAAATATAATAATAATAATAATAATATAATATATAATATATATATATATATATATATAATATAATATAATATAATAATTAAAAAAAATAATATAAAATATATAAAATATAAATATACCAGAATATACCAGACATTCATCAACAACTGCTTACGCTCGCTGCTGAAGATCAGATGGCCAGAAAAATAAGCAACAAGGAACTCTGGGAACGAACCAACCAAGAACCTATCACGCAACAAATATGCAGGAAGAAGTGGAGATGGATTGGCCATGCACTGAGAAGGCCGACTGAGGACATCACGCGTCAGGCCCTCGAGTGGAATCCCCATGGGAAGCGACGAGTTGGACGTCCAAGGGTGACATGGAGGAGGTCGTGCGAGCAGGAAATGAGAGCTTCTGGGCTGTCGTGGGACCAGGTTCAAAAGATCTCAGAGAACAGAGGTCACTGGAGGCGTGCTACTGAAGCCCTATGTTCCACTAGGAACCCAAGGGACTAATAATAATAATAATAATACCAGTCATTTCATACACTACTATTGTTAGTTGAGATTGAAAAAAGAAATTTGAATGATATAAATTTGATGGACATGGGAAACACTGATCATTCAATTCTAACACATTGGCTCAGTTGTATAATCTCTTCATTACAAAACTTAAAGGGATCGATATTGTTGTTTCTTAAAAAGTCACCAACTGTAGCGCATTCATTCTTCACTACTCTTGAATGCTTAGTATTTCTCCAACTTCTCCAATTTCGATTCCGTATAAATTGGGTTTTTTTTTCGAAAATTGAGAAGAATTTCCCCCTTAAGATCTACTACAAGACATTTTCCACTCTGAATTTTGTGATGGCTATCTTATGCTTATGAGGTGAAAGATGATAAGGGATTAATGAATTCTAATCATGTTAGACACAAACGATTGTTTGTTATGTTCCTACATAATGCTAATTGTCTCAACTACATGATTTATTCTACTCACGTTTAACGCTGACCTTGTACTTAGTTAGTTTCATATATACTTGCCACATCTTGTATGCTCAGTTGATCCACACGATGAGATTTGCTATTTGTTCCTCCCAACACCATAACAACAGAAAAGTCTTGTACTTATTGTCTGGACATATTTTAGCAATCTGAATCATCGATCTGTCTATATACAACCGAATTTTCTGCCCACGATCCAATATAATCCATAAAAATGAAGAGACCGATTTCATGCACACAGAATAATATAACATACAAACAAGCAATCCTATCAGAACTACAAGTTATACAGAAATGAGTGGAGAGTTAACCAATAGCTCTTGGGTCAAGCTACATAATAATGTTACTAAATAAGTTATAAGTAGAATAAAATAATTTGATCGATAAAACCTATCTGAAATTCATATTTTCCATTTTTTGACCAATATGAATAGTGAATGTAAAACGTCAAGTCACTTGCTTCTTCTTTCATAGTTCACGTTTCTTATACTCCACAGTATTTATAACGATACAATGCTCCAACTCGCCATGATTAATGATAGAACAACGACTTCTCAACACGATATTCAGCTGACACCACATGAAGACGATAAGATTAAAAGTATTATTTACTTCAACCGAATAATCATCTCATAGCTGAAAATTTAGTTGTCTATGTATCCTTAGATGGCCTTGGCCAGGGTAAACAAAATAGCATATTAAAAGTGTAAAATAGACCAATCAGCGTTTAGTATCCTAACCTGCGTTAAAAGGAAGTAACATTGCACGGTGTAAAAACGGCTCGAAAGTAAGGTTAAAATTCTACAATGATAATATATTGGTATTATAAGTTAATGTTTCTTCAGGATTAGGTATCCCTAACAATATTGTCTTCTTTCTCTGTTTCTGTATGTGCTTGATTTCAATGGTATTTCAGCATTATCACTCTTACTATTACCAATGTCTTTACAGTAGGTCTAGTGCGATGACACAAGTGTTTAAGGTATTGCACCAGCCGTCTATAGTTTATCAACAACCTCATGCTGAAAAAATCTTACTAACTAAATAAAAAGATTTAAATTACAGTGCAAAGCTCAGGCACTGAACTATTATTGAAAGGACACATTTGTCTTCCCAGTTCGATAGTCTTGTTTAGTAAACAAAACCAAAGTAGCCCTTTTAAGAAAATAAATTTTGAACGATATTTATAGCCTGCAATATGACTGCATCTCGACAACAGTATAGCAATCCACATTAGGTTTGTTTATTTGATTTATAACACACAGTATTATTTACTTGATGATGTTTTCAGCATAAATTATTATTGCTCAATATGAATCACAATGCTTTCGATATCTGATTTTTGTGGTCATGTCACCTCTTATTCTTTGTTTCTATTGATAGTTAAGTTTTGCATATCTCTGCTATATGTGTTCCACCATTCCTATTACATGTACTGGGTGTAGATTCCATGAAGAAAAATATTCAGTAATCAATCTCTCTCTTCACCTAATTATATTGGACTTAAGTACTAGTGGTTTTATCCCACCCACCCTGTGTCGTTGTGTGGTAATGCATCCATTGAAATAGCCGAGTTTTTTTCTAGATTATTGGTCATATTCGGGTCTATCATTATATATTTACCTAAATTCTTATATTCCACTATTCTAATTGACCCTGACCGGCTAGTTTGACCTATATACTGGACCCAACACATGTAATAGAAATGACCAGAGATATGGAAAAATTTACTACCAATGAAAACAAAGAATATTAGGTGATGGAACTATAAAAATCAAATGTTGAAAGTAGTGTGATTACATTGATATGATTATGAGCAATAACAATTGGTCGAAACGACATGAAGTAAATAATACTAGATCACTGTCTTTGTTATACTTTCGAACGCTAATGGTTATATATACCGAACGATATATTACGCACGCTTAGCTGACAGCTAACTTAGTACTCGAGAACCACTGACTGCAACCTTGAGATTAATAGAGAGAAGACCGAAGCTGGCAGATGGGAGAGTTTTTATTATTAAAAGGTTCAGCGTTTTAAAATAATAATCATCAATCCAAAACACGTGAATAAGTATACACATGAAAATGACCTTGTCCGCAATTGGTATGGGAATGACACGTTAAAATGTTCAGATCAATAATAATGTTTTTACGCAAACTGAGGCATCACAACAGTTTTATAAATCAAATAAACAAATCTAATATGAAAACTTCATTTTGTCAATTATTTGTTAACAGTAACAGTAACGCGATTACGAATAATAACGACAACACGAGTAGAAAAGAGTTCATAGCCTAGTATACTTAACAAGTATGGAATTAGGGTGGTAGTTAAACCTACAAACTTACTCAGAAGAGATAAGCTTTGTCGGCCGACTTAAGGATCCAATAAAACCAAATAATTAAAATAATCTAATCTATCTAATTCCATGTAATGACTATGAGGTCAAGTACATAGGTGAAACTAGCCGGTTGGGGTCAGTTAGAATAGCCGAACATAGGAATTTAGCTAAATATACAATAACAGACCTGAATAAAATCAATAATCTAGAAAAAAACTCGACTATTGGTATGCATGCATTAACACACAACCACACAATAGGGTGGGATAAAGCCACTATACTTAAGTCTAATATAATTAGGTGGAGAGAGAGACTGATCACTGAATCTTTGTTCCTGGAATCAACACCCAACACACGTAATAGAAACGACGCAACACCTATACCAGAAATGTAGAAAATTTTACTACCAATAAAAACAACCCATATGAATTGACGGAACTATAAAAATCAAATGTCGAAAGTGGTGTGATTACATTGATATGACTATGAGCAACCACGCGCATATCCATGCAGTAAAAGCGATGAGCTACGCTTATTGTATGAGGACTACTGAGACTATATGGCTGCGCAAACCTTAGCGGATGGAATAGAGTTCAGATTTACGACCCACTGGTTGAAAGTCAAATATCCGAACAGATGAGTTCTAGTACATCAAAAGGCAATGCATGCTTATATCGCATACTTAATAAGATCACTTTCATATCATTTACCTTGTGATAGGTTTATATTTGTTAAGTGTATTACCAATAATAACTGCTCCCACATAATCATCATATGGGTGTACTTATTTATTTCTATTGAATAAGATAATCTATTATGTAGTATTTCTTGTGAGGGCTGTGATACTGCCCGGGCACCCAGGCCGAAGCAGGCGGTTGTCTTGGGGGACCATTCCCCGAGTATCTGACTTAAAGTCTAATCTGCAAGGTAGTGGAGCAACAGCAGGTTGCCGGTGACCAAAATAGGTTCATGTGCCATTCGTTACATTTAGAACTTGAAGCCCATTTGCACCATTGATTTGGAATCAGGGTTTTTTAACTCCCAAAGGTGGGCTCTTAGTATCCATCAATCCGGTAATAAGCGCCAAGCATTCACTTTCGCCCTTTCACTCCCGTGGAAACACCCCTGCCAAATGAACGCAGTGGATAAGCTGTGAACAATATCAGGGGATTTCGAGTCAGGGTCGCTATGATCCGATTATAAGCAATAATTTATGCTCGAAATATCACCACGTAAATAATACTGTATCAAATAAACAAATCTAATGTGGAATTACATTCTACTGCAGTGCACAAGTTTTAACAGTTATTTCAACAATGCAATGCATTTAAACCAAATAAGCACCACAAGTTTTGAAGATTTCCACATCTTGCGCGATATATGCAACTGCCTGTTCCCCGGCCTTTGTTTTTCTCTTTATATCAACACTAGAATAATTTTAAAAAATCCCCCTTGAATGTCATTGTAGATCCCTAACAAGTAACTAACTACATAATTAGTAAATGTTTCATTTCATACAACTCTGTCCGTCTAACGCAACTATTAAACAACTTTAAGTAAGACATATATGACCTAACTCACCGTACGAATAGTATGTATGGAGTAATTTCTCATAGAATTCCAGCAGTTTCGATTTACAAATAACATGATCATAAAAAATGGAGAACTCACTCCTCAAGTGCAGCAGTTAAGCTGAGTTGGGAAACATTTTGGTGGTGGCTTTCGAGAGTCAAACTGATAAGTTGGCTTGAAAAATAAATTTTTCTTCTAAACACTTAATTAACTAAACTCACTTCTCAATTCATTTATAATTGTTACTTCGTAAGGGAAGTGAACTAAAAGTTGTGGCAGTTCACAAAATCAATCCGAAATACATTTAGTTCTTTAGTCCTTTTTATAGAGAGGGACAAACAGGAATTTCTGCCACTTTTATTTCAGCTAAAACGAAATAAATGTAAATCTAAGATTGTTAGGGATCCCCATATCCCTTTTATTCCATACTTACAACTTGTATATATATTTGAACAGCTTTTTTTCCCGCACATGGATTACATTTCAGATAACGCACTGGCGTTCTGATTGGCTTCTTCCTCTTTAAATGTACTAATTATTCTTTGTCTTTCAAGGTTACTGTAAACTCTGTAAATAGGGTCCATTTTCATGCATAAACATTTTCAGTCCGAGATCCTATAAACCCAGTTGATTACCAGTCTTTTGATTTCTCTTGCGAATCACTCGGGTTGAACCGTCTCAACCCTCGACTATCGATCGTTAAGTATTACCGTTTGTTCGCACTAGTCCGCGACTTAACAAACCTTTTCGGCTGAAAATAGAAAAATGAAATGATAAGAATGCACAACTAACTGTTTTTGCTCCACGAATGCATTAAAATCATGACAACCACTAGAACCTCAGAATATACTGCTATTCCAGTAAAACGTTAGAAGAAACGGTGAAAAGTATACGCTTGAAGCCTAGTGAACAGGCTACAGCTGACTTCATACGCTAATCTAGAAAAGATCGTGTCCCATTTAGGCCGGAAATTCCAATAAATGTTAACTAGTTTACTAGTTACTAGCCGGTCCTAAGCCCGGGTAAAGAGGGAAGGTTGGGCATAGGGCTAGCAACCCTACCCCGTAAAACAAATCTAACCGCTAAAGAAACTTCAAAGCACAAACAAAATATAAAAAATGAAAACAAACTTATTCCCCGCTGGAATCGGAGAGGCGAAATGACGCCAGTTGGTGAAAGCCTTCGGGAAGCCAATTGGCCGATGTGTCTTCTCTCGATGAAAGCGAAAGTAAACGTGGGGACATGGAATGTCCGCACGATGTTTGAACCCAGTAAGGCAGCCCAGATTGCAAGGGAGATGAGAAGGTATAACATCGAAGTGCTTGGGATTTGCGAAAGCAGATGGAATGGGAGTGGACTCTCCAAACTGTCAACTGGAGAATCAATAATCTACTCCGGTCACCCAGACGCCAACCACGAGCACACTGAGGGAGTGGCTATCATGATGTCCTCAAGAGCATCGAAGGCTCTCATGCAGTGGGAACCAATCTCCTCCAGGATCATGACAGCAAGATTCAACTCAAAAGGAAGAAAGGTCACAATCATACAATGTTATGCACCTACAAATAATGCAGAGCAAGAGAAAAAGGAGGATTTCTACAGACAACTTCAATCAACACTGGACAAGACGTCAGTTGGCGATATCAAAATTCTGATGGGCGACATGAATGCCAAACTGGGAGGGGACAACACGGGAAGAGAACTAACCATGGGTCGAGAGGCACTAGGTGAAATGAATGAGAATGGAGAATTGTTTGCAGAATTCTGTGCATTCAACGATTTGGTGATTGGAGGCAGTGTGTTCAGGCACAAAGATATCCACAAAGCGACATGGATTTCACCAGATGGACACACTAAAAATCAAATCGACTTTATCTCAATCTCAAGAAAATGGAGACGCAGTCTACTTAACACAAGGTCAAGAAGAGGAGCAGATGTAGGTTCAGACCACTATCTAGTGCAAGGAACCTTCCAAATCAAGTTAAAAGCCTTCAAGGAAGCTGGTGATAGACCTCAATTCAAGTACAACACTCGGAAACTGAAGGATGAAACTACAAAGGAGATCTTCAAGGCAGCCATCAAGACAAAATGGGAGACATCGAGCAACATCCCTGAAGAAACCTGTGTGGAAGAACACTGGAAGTCTTTGAAAGCTATGTGGAAAGAAACCTGCACAACAGTATTAGGAAGGAAGAAGAAAGAAGACAAGGAATGGATCTCGACGGATACCTGGAAGCTGATAGAGGAGAGGAGGATGGTGAAGCAGAAGATAAACCAGTGCAAGGATGCTCAACGACAAGAGGAACTGAGCACAATGTATAAAACACTGGACAAAGAAGTGAAGAAGAGTGCACGCAAAGACAAAAGACACTTCTACGAAACACTGGCAAGTGAAGCAGAACAGGCTGCAGGTAAGAGAGACCTGACGACATTGTATCAAATAACCAGGTTGCTATCAGGGAAGAGACCAACACAGATGAAACCAATAAAAGATGAAGAAGGAAATTTAATTACAAAAGAAGAGAAACAGAGGAAACGATGGGCCGACCACTTCAAGAAGCTCTTGAATCGACCACCACCTGCACTTCGTCCAGAAATACCACCTGCAGCCGCTGAACTACAAGTGAACATAAATCCCCCAACGAAAATGGAAGTCCTGAACGCCATAAAGCTACTGAAATGCGGGAAAGCAGCAGGACCAGATGGAATACCGCCAGAAGCACTGAAAACAGATGCAGAGACAACAGCGGACATGCTCACACCACTATTGCAGAAGGTGTGGAAGGAAGAGAAGGTACCTGCGAGTGATTGGAAGAAGGGTTACCTTGTCAAACTGCCGAAGAAGGGAGACCTCAGTGCTTGCAAGAACTGGCGCGGAATCACTCTCCTGTCCACCCCAAGTAAAATATTAAGCCGCATCATCCTGGAGAGGCTTAAAGACGCACTGGATTCAAAACTGCGACCGGAACAGGCAGGCTTCAGGAAGTACAAATCATGTGCTGACCAAATTGCAACGCTTCGTATCATCATAGAACAGAGCGTAGAATGGCAATCAGCTCTATACCTCAACTTCATCGACTTTGAGAAGGCCTTTGACAGCGTCGACCGAGAAGTAATTTGGAAACTGCTTCAATACTACGGAGTACCGCAAACCTTTATCCGCCTCATTCAACAACTATATGAAGATGCCACATGCCAAGTAATCCACAATGGGAAGCTCAGTGATGCCTTTGAAGTGAAGACAGGAGTGAAACAAGGTTGCCTACTATCCCCCATGATATTCCTTATTGTGGTGGACTGGATCATGCAGCAAACAGTAGGCAGCGAGAAGAGGGGGATACACTGGACGACGGAAAAGAACCTAGAAGACTTGGATTTCGCCGATGACTTATGCCTAATGTCACATAAACTTGAAGATCTGCAGGCAAAAACTAACAAGTTGATAGAAGAGGCGAGGCAGCGAAGACGGGACTTCAGGTGAATATAGAGAAGACAGAAGTGATGAAGATACCGCACCACCACCATCAACAACAACAACAAACTCCAATCACCGTCAACGGGAGAAACTTAAAGGAAGTAACCTCCTTCACTTATCTAGGAAGCACTGTTTCAACTACAGGCGGGACGGACGAGGACGTCAAAGTCAGAATCGGAAAAGCAAGACAGGCGTTCATTAGCCTGAAACCAGTGTGGAGATCTTCTGCACTCAGCATGCGGAACAAGATACGGATTTTCAACACCAACGTCAAGTCAGTGCTCTTGTATGGCTCAGAGACTTGGCGCGTCACGAAAGGTATTTCCAATAAACTACAGACATTCATCAACAACTGCTTACGCTCGCTGCTGAAGATCAGATGGCCAGAAAGAATAAGCAACAAGGAACTCTGGGAACGAACCAACCAAGAACCTATCACGCAACAAATATGCAGGAAGAAGTGGAGATGGATTGGCCATGCACTGAGAAGGCCGACTGAGGACATCACGCGTCAGGCCCTCGAGTGGAATCCCCATGGGAAGCGACGAGTTGGACGTCCGAGGGTGACATGGAGGAGGTCGTGCGAGCAGGAAATGAGAGCTTCTGGGCTGTCGTGGGACCAGGTTCAAAAGATCTCAGAGAACAGAGGTCACTGGAGGCGTGCTACTGAAGCCCTATGTTCCACTAGGAACCCAAGGGACTAATAATAATAATAATAATAATAATAATAATAATAATAATAATAATAAATGGTTCCCCAATTGATGTCAGTCCGTGATGAATACTACCTCTAAATCAAAATCCTCATTCATCTCTACATCCCTCTATAGTGCTCATTAGTGACATGCTTCTAGGTGGATATCACGAAGTTCTAATAAGGGGGGTTAACCAGTCGGAAGGGAAGCGGATGCCAACTGAAAACCTTGGATGATAGTCACGCTATATCATGAATTGACAGAAGTTAGAAACCAAGAACCACTGAAAACCGCCCCAGTGGGTTGAATGGTAAACGCGTTCGCCTTGAAACCCGAAGGTCCTGAATTTGATCCCTAGCCGGCTAGGGTGAAACAACTGTCCAATGCTCCTAGGTTCCCAATGCTTCCTCCAACTGATGTTAGTCCATGATGATTGATTTCTTTCAAGACCAACATGAAAGTACACAATAAGCCTAGTTCTGGTTAACCTTCACCACAACAATACAACACAATAGAGTTGAATTCAAATATAAAATCTTTTGATTATCTTACCTGTGGATGAATTTTTCTTAAATGTTCTTCCATTGATTTTAATGCACTAAATGATTCATTACATTGTGGACATTTATGTGGTGTAACTACATTGTGTGTAGTCATACGATGACTTCTTAATGCTTGTACAGTTGGAAATCCAGCTGGACATAGATTACATAAATATTTACGACCAAATGTAATTGATCCTTTCGGTGTTAATTGTTGTAGAAAATCACAAGCAAAAGAATTACTCACAGATTTTTCATTTTTAAGTGATTGTAGATTACTACTACTACCACTACCACTACCACTACTATTATCATTATGACTATTATCTGAAATATTATTTTGTTTTTGTGATAATACACGACCAACTTCTGCAGCAATATTTAAAGCTTCTTCTCTAGATGCATCAATTTTCATCCATACATCAGAATCATTATCAAGATTTTTTTTAACACCATGAGTACGTAAATGACGATTTAATAATGATTTAGAAGCTAAACAAAAACCGCATAATTTACATAAATATGGTCTAGCTCCAGTATGTGAACGAAAATGTTCATTTAAATGAACTTTTTGTCTATAAGCTTTTGAGCATAATTCACATTTATATGGACGTTCACCAGTATGTGTACGAATATGTTTTGCCCGTGCACTTGCACGACTAAATGTTTTTTCGCATATATCACATTTAAATTTACCACTATTTGCATGACGATCCATATGTTCACGTAATGAACCACGTCGCATTGTTTTACAGCATACAGGACAATTAATAAACTGTTTTTCACGTTCACGTCCTTTAAATTGATTATTCTCATTGTCATCACCTTCACCATCATCTTCATCATCTCCATCATCAGTATCAGTGTTTTTTGAAGTATTAGCAGAAGATGATGTTTTACTGTTTAGTGTAGACTCAATCTTAGTTTGATTTGAAGTGAAATTATTTGATACATTTTCTGCATTTCCAGTCATCGTCATTGTTGTTGTTGTTGTCGTCGTCGTGAAATTTCCATTACCAAGTGTAGGTAGAGATAATCCCAATGGTGCGATAGGTGGTGTTTCAGATGGAAAAATTGGTATCAGTGGTCCTGAGGAGAGTGCAGCAACAGTAGCTACAGCAGCGGCTTGAGCGAGAAAGGCAGCTGTTTGTAAATTATTCAAGCATTCTGTTGTGACTGGAATGGATTCATTTGAACCTTCTTTTGTTTTTCTTCGCTTCAGCTCTTGACTGTCTATCTCAGTAACTGGAGGTCTTTTCAGTATGGATTGTTTCTTCTGTTCACTATCATTTTTCGGCACTTCATCGTCATCATCATCTTCATTTGAACTATTCTCATCATGATGATTGTCACCATTATTATCATGATCATTCTCACTGTTACAAACGGAACCATTGTCGCTAATAACATCATCAACCACTTCACAAGAATCTCCATTCGAAGATTCGCCTTTTTCATTTAAATAAATCTGCTGTGGAGTCGCTTTAAATCTCGGCATAATCTACGTTTGTAAACCGATCTATACAGAAGGTAAACAAAAATAAAGATTAGTCAGTGAGATAAATTACTTGTGATACTACTTAATAGCAAACACCAAGTAGGAGGAGGACGTTACTAAGGTATGGTATTTGAAGCATGCATCCTACTTTCGGATAGCAGACCACTAAATCCAACACAATATTACTAAGATGTAGCCAGTTGGGTAGTCACCGAAGAAATTTCAGTTCGGATATACAAGTCGTTTGGAATTCATAAACTTACGTTATCACTGATGTCGGCAAGTTATCCGATCACCTATTGAATGACGAGTATACTGCTCTGCACATCGCTGTCTCACCAAATTGCTGCGTGACATGACCGCTGAAAAAAGATACGGAAGGATAAAGACATCTGATCACACATGTTTACGCAAAATTCCTAACGAATGGTGAACTCTGTGTGTGAGCAGTGCTCAGGTTACGCAAAGGATACTACACAAGGTAATTAAGACAGTCAATAAAGTTATGAATAGTTACCAACTGAGGTGACTTAGAATAGAAGTGTGTTGTGTAGACCTAGTCACCACCCACCTCTATGTGTGAGGTTAGCCGAAATGGGACTAGGCTGGGAGAAAGTCAAGGGTGACCAGGCCAAGAAGCACAAACAATCCATGAAATCTTTGACTGTTGCTATGAGCCATGTAGGGTGTGGGCTGTGTGACTGATTGGAGTCCTCAAGTCGATAGGAATCAGTGGTTGAAGACTGTTGGTGATATGGATATATGTCGGTCTCGATGGCACAAATACATATCACTCTTCATCTTCCTTGAAGTCTCGAATATTGTAATTAGACTCTATTTATTTATTCTCTCAATACTCATAAACTTTAATGTACTTTTGTGTTATTTCTCGTCTATTCACTTCTTCCTTACATAATTATGTGGAGTTTATGATCTTGAAGTAATATACTTGTGTATCAGGTTCTACATTGATTTTTATTCTTGTCTGTATAATTATTTTCACACAATATAATATATGTGGTGTATAAAGTATTGTGCAAAGCCGTTGATAGTTGTTGAATTGCAGCTATACCCCATTAAATTATATCTTTATTACGTAGAGTAAATAGCCATTCAAATCGTTATCATGATAAAAAATATAACGGCAACTCTACTTCCCTCTTTTTTTCGTTTACACCATTTGAAAAGGTCGTATGAACATGATCTCACTCTTTTTGTGGATCGACTTCGATAAAAGTGAATAAATAATGAGATAGTTTATTTCATCTGAGGCTAAGAAGTGAATAATGTTGAAATAAGAAGTGTTGATGGATATTTGAAAAAAGTTAACTCTTATGTCTATTTCATGAATCATCAACCAGTAACAATACTAATCTACCAAATCACGGCTATTTCGGATAATTAAAATGAGAATCTATATAACGCTATGTAAAAATTTACATGATAGTACTTGCAGAATGACCAAACATATTACAAGAAATTGCCCACCTCCGTTGGTAGATGGATTGCTATGCGGATCCCTCAATACTCCCGGATATCCATGATGCTGTATTCATCTCCATTACTAGCAGGGGAATCCAGAACACGTGTTTCGTCTCATTTTGAACTCATCAGCTGAATGCACCTCCACTCCAGTGTGTGATGTTGTTCCCACTGAGACTCGAACTCAGTACCCCTCACTGTGAACGCCAAAGCGTTATCCATTAAGCCACCTCTTGGGCAACGGGTATCATTTTGTTGTTGTTTGATACTGTTAAGTTGGCGTTTGAAGTGATGGGTACTGGATTCGGCTCTCAGTGGAAACAATACCACTCACTAGGATGCAGGCACATCCAACTGACGAGTTCCAACTAAGACGAAACGCGCGTTCTGGATTCCACTGCTAGTCACCAAGAAGAGTACATCATGAGTATTCTGCAGTACCGAAGTATCTACATAAAGGTCGAGCAATTCGACCCTGCACAGGAACGGGAAATTATAAGTATCATAACAACAACTGATACCCGTTGCACAAGAGCTGGTCATCGTACCCCAGCGGCTTAGTGGATAATACTATGGCGTTTGAATCGATGGGTACTGGGTTTCAGTCTCAGTGGGAACAACACCACTCATTGGGATGCAGGTACATTCAACTGACGAGTCCAAAATAAGACGAAACGCGCGTCCTTGATTCCTTTGCTAGTCACCAAGATGAATGTATCTACAAAAAGTCGACTGGAGTACCACACCAGCTTGGAGTGAGTACATCTGAAAAGCCTAATTCAACTCTTCAAAGCATCCTATACATCGTTAATTGAAAATACATTTAAATCTCAGGACATACCACTTTGAAGAGAGGGGACTCTTTAAGAAATGGCATTTTTATAAACAAGCACTGAATAGAAATGTAACAACAGACGTAGTCATCCATCTTGTGCACATCCGTCTATTAGGTAATGATAAGCCACACTTACTGTGTGAAGGCTGGCGATACTATCTGGCTGCCCAAACCTTGGTAGGTGGGGCGGGGTCCGAACTCGTGACTTACTTGTTGATAGTCATCTGCCTAAACCATGGAGCCACATCTGAACTAATAAGATGTAGATTTAGACTAATGGTGAACTAGATTATCAAGTCAATTTTTTGGATTCAACTTTTGTTAATAAGAAACAAAAACTTCGCTGAAGAACATAAACACGCATCAAAACGAATGATAAGAAGTGCCCACCGTAAATTAACACAAAACCTCCTGAAGTGGTCATCTCCAACGCAAAAAAAAAATGAAATGCACTCAGCAACCACGTGCATATTCGTGCAATAGACAATGAGCCATTGTGTGGAGGTTAGTGATACTACCTCGTGGCCTAAACCTCAGTAATTGGAACGGGATTCGAACCGGTGACCTACTGATTGAGAATCAACTATGTAAACCAATGAGACAAAGCTTTATGTTCCAATTGAAACAAGTGGAAAATAATTACCCGCAGGAAAAATCAATCTGGCTTATAAATAATGCTTGAAGGTCGACATTCAGGAATTATCCCGAATCTATAAATAGAAGTACTTCGAATTGACACACACAATCCAACAACACCATCTCAACAGAATAGACCAAGAAAAGACAATGAAAGATCAACAAAATGATCATAGGTTAACGAGTTACAACATACACCAACCGATCAATCGAAAAGAACATAATTACACCATACATTCACAGATTGTTCACTTCAGGAGAAATTACTTGTATAAATAGTTATGGAGAAATGAATCAAATTCATTTTCTTGTGAAGTAGCATTCTGTCCATATAATACTCATAAATGAAGAGTGATAAAATTACGAAATCTAAGAAATGATTGCCACAATACGAAACTCATCATAATAGGAGTCAACAAAAGGAATGAGACATTATAGTAAACTGGAATAGAAACATGACGTAACCAAGCAGTATAGTAGAGCGCTGAAGAATTATAGACGATAAGTAGTTAGTATATTAGTTTTACGTCATCTAAAACTGTCATGCTTATACAGTTGTTCAGATTGCTCTGAATAATCCACTTCACATTACAGACTTATGTGCAGTTCAACAATCAATTACATATTTATCTACCAAGCTATGATCTACAGATGATGTGTGAGGAATTTTGTCACTATCTGGTTGAAGAGATTGAAGCAAGTGGGTGACGTTTGAAAATCGATTGCTCAAGCTAATGAATCATTTCTTCATAATATGACATTTATGTCTAGGTTAACTGGAGACTAGACTGAATGGTCGAATACAGATAGACCAACTATTCATGGCCCTAAGTCAATGAAACCACAAGACTGAACTACAAACCAATACCTACATATATCTACAACAATCTTCAAACTCAATAACCAGATAACAACAAGAGGAATCAGAAACGATGAATTGAAACAATCAACTATACGCAAGCATATGACGACCAAGGTGAATAGTTATTATCTGAGCTTTACATACGGAATATCCAATCCCGGGTGGTATGAAGGTCAGCAGTCAAACAGTAAATTCCTATCAAAAAAGTAAGGCAGCACTTTTATTCACTCTAGCATGCGTCATCCACTTATGTTATTGCTATAAAGGGTTCTTGATGAGACATCAGGTGCCTTGTGGTTGCAGGTACGCCTTACTGATCCGTGTTAACAAGGAAGGAAGCTAGACACAGTACGATAACCTGTAGATCGACTCTTCACGTCTAACACTATAACACAATGCAGCATAATGTTGCATTACTTAGCTCAATGGCTACTTCACTAACTACTTCGAAGGATTCCAATCAGCGCAGAGCGATTCGGCTTTGATAGTTACACTACTTACCATTCAGACAGAGATCGATAAATCAACATAGAACCTGACACACAAGTACACTACTTCAAGATAATAAACTTGATACAATCATGCACAGAAAGAGTGGATCGAAAACGAATAACATAAAAGTGTTTCAGAAATGAGAAAATAAACAAACGAAGTTTAATTACAACAAGCAAGAATTCAAGAAAGACAAAGAGTGATATCTATATGTGCCATCGAGACCGACATATATCCATATCACCAACAGTCTTCAACCACTGATTCCTATCGACTTGAGGACTCCAATCAGTCACACAGCCCACACCCTACATGGCTCATAGCAACAGTCAAAGATTTCATGGATTGTTTGTGCTTCTTGGCCTGGTCACCCTTGACTTTCTCCCAGCCTAGTCCCATTTCGGCTAACCTCACACATAGAGGTGGGTGGTGACTAGGTCTACACAACACACTTCTATTCTAAGTCACCTCAGTTGGTAACTATTCATAACTTTATTGACTGTCTTAATTACCTTGTGTAGTATCCTTTGCGTAACCTGAGCACTGCTCACACACAGAGTTCACCATTCGTTAGGAATGCTGGTAAGACACATGTGGTCGAAAACCTGTAACCTCTTCGTATCTTTTACTTTGAAGATTCATGTGGCACAGGACGACAGGCTGTACATTTCACTCGCATTTTGATATTTAGTC